CTCCATGTCACCGACCACATGCTGTCTGGTAATCTCTTAGGGTCTCCATATCACTAACCACATGCTGTCTGGTAATCTCTCAGGGTTTCCGTGTCACCGACCACATGCTGTCATGTTTGACTCTAATATTCAAGATCTTTGAGGTCAATAATTTTCAATAAGTGGTGCCGTATAAGAGTGGCAGTTAATCTCTTATTGTGGATGGTGGGTCCTGTTGAATGGGCTGCCTTTATTCAGTAGTTGAAAAGTAAGGACGGTGGCAGTTAGCTTTAACAGCTTTTTTTACAAATTCAAATAAAAAAAGAGGCATCAGTTTCACCTTTAATTGTGTGACAGTTTCTTCTAGCTAGTGTTCTTGAGGCACCGTAGTAAGGCTGAAAGCTTATAACGCTAAAAACTGGACATCGATACCTGCTGTGGGTACAGCACAGGTAGCCTATTGCGTAGCTATGCCCTTAACAACAAACAAACCATACATTAACTTTCAACGCCATAATGTCAGGCGCTGAATAAAAGAACGGCAATGAATATTTGAGAGGAAGTTAAATTCTTATAACACTAGAGAATATACAATGTTATTGAATGATTTAGATAAATATATTTCTATAACAACTTTTTTGATGTGGATAGTGTGACGGACTGTTAAATCAGGCGATCCATGGTTCGTGTCCCGTCGCCACAAAAGCACCTCTCGCACTGTAGGGTCGTGGGTGCGTTATAAGAGTGGGGGAGGGGAGGGAATTTTGCTGTTGATAGCTGCATTTTCTCTGGTCTGTCAGTTCAAAATTAGGGTTAGCACAGATAGCCTTTGTGTAGTTTTGCGCGAATATACAAAAACGATCCAAGGAAGTCAGTACCAATCTTCTTTCATCTCATGTTCTTGTTTAAAATGACTAGAAAATGACCATGTTTTGTATGCTGTTTTTCTAATTTTTAATTACAATCGTTTTTTAGGCATTTAGAACGTAATATTTTTGAGAAAGAATTGCGCTATAAGATTTTGTTAATATTTCATCACTTTTTGTATTTTAATTTCACAATGGTCCCTTAAAAATTTATTATCTGCTTGATAACTGTACGTTTGCAATATTAATGTTAGAATATCTAAATGTACTGCTTTGGATCATTACAGAATACTTACAGCTGTAACATTAAGAAAAATGTCGCTCCTTGTTTAAAATAATAATTAAATCTGATTTCCAGTTAATTTCCTTATTCCGTAATAATAATGACTAAATTCACGTTTTGACTTTTTCGGTGTAAAATAAATTAATGTGTATTACAAACATTTTACCAAAATGCAGATTGGAACGATAAGTTATGACTGAGAATGATAAAACTGGTTAAATAATGAATAAAAGGGCAGAGCCCCAGTGTTGCGCTAGAAAGTGGAGGAGGGTTCAGAGCCCCAGTGTCGCGCTAGAAAGTGGAGGAGGGTTCAGAGCCCCAGTGTCGCGCTAGAAAGTGGAGGAGGGTTCCGAGCTCCAGTGTCGCGCTAGAAAGTGAGGAGGGTTCAGAGCTCCAGTGTTGTGCTAGAAAATGGGGAGTAGGTACAGAGCCCCAGTGTCGCGCTAGAAAGTGGGAGAATGTCCAAAGCCCCAGTGTTGTGCTAGAAAATGGGGAGTGGGTACAGAGTCCCAGTGTCGCGCTAGAGAGTGTGGGAAGGTACAGAGCCCCAGTGTCACGCTAGAAAGTGGGAGAAGTTTTTGAGCCTCTGTGTCGCGCTAGAAAATGAGGAGTAGGTTGAGAGCCCCAGTGTTATGTTGGAAAGTGGGGCTGTAGGAATTTCAGTAACATCCATGTTAGGAGAAAATGATGATTAGAGTTATTCAAATGCCTTTTAAATATGCAGGTACTGCTTTTAAAACGTCGACAGGCATTTGAAATAAGGCACTTAGGTAAAGATAAACATTTTAATATACAGTTTTCCTTATATGCACGTGTCATTTCTGTAAGCGTTACAGAAAAAATATTCTACAACAATATTTGACAGTGGCGCCACTCTGTGGCTACAGTTGTAAGTTATGCTGTAGAGTAACAAAAAAAAACATATTTTGATACATTATAATCGGAGTACGGTCACTTAATAAAGTTTTATATTTTCAGTAGCTGCAGTGAAACGGACACGTTACGTTTCAACAACTTGAATTTAATCTAACTGGTTCTTCTCTGGACAAGTAAAAATTCTGACAGCTAGCTTAATGTTTAACACCATTACTTTAACACTGATTTTTCACAAGTAAACAAGCAAAACATGCACAGTAAACATTTTATTAGAATCACAGCCGTACAGTTGCCCAAAATTCGTACAATGACAGCTGTACAGTTCTTCTTGAACAACTGAAAACCGACTTTGCCTGATGACGTCAGTACTGTGCGAATAGGTTCTGGGTTAACTGGGTGGAAGGGTTAAATATTTGAAATTTCTGAAAATACGCAATATGGGGTCTATATACAAAATCACTTAGGGGCACGTGGAGTAATATTAAGTTCCCCACCTTACATATTTACATATCAAAACTAGGCTATTCCTTTCCCTGTGGCAGTCAGATAGGTAATAATATCCTGGTTTAATACCATCAGAGTCCGTAAATAAAAAGTAGAGGGGGGTTGACAAAATAAGAATAATTATAGTATTTAAAACCTGCATAACAGGCGTATTTGACATAAAAAGAACGAAGCAAGATCTCGGAATGACCAGTACAGCTCTTATTATTAATTTATTTTATTTTACGCGTTTATTTTTTAAAAGCAAAAAAATCGCCAGTAGGGTCTTCTAGCCAAGGATAATTGTGGGGGCATTCCATGCACGTGTGTAATCTGTTGGTTTCTCCGGGCAACTCCCTGGTGGTTAGGGGACAAGCGTTAGAAAGACTGCAGTAAGCTTGGCCTTTAATGTCGCATTTCTCCTTCCAAGAAGCGAAGTCTCGGACGGAGCTGAGCTCAGTTGGGTTTTGCATCCATTGGAGAACCTGCGTCATGGTCACAAAGTAGATGTCATTCTTCTCCAAGGACTCGTCTATCCAGGTCATTAGAGCCTCCAGGAATTTGGAGTTGAGCTTTAAGAATCCTGCATGGAAATAAAGGCCCAGAGGGGCTCGGTTGGTGTTGTAGTGACGTTTCAAGTTGTTGTTCAAGAAGTTGTAGAACTGGTCACGTGTGATGATGTTGCTACAAGTGTCAACCATGGCACAACCAGCTAGCTGTTCATCAAAATCGGGGTCATCCCGTCGGTCCAACTCGTTCATAACCATCTCCCAAACAGCATGAGAACGCGTAGGACAGTGCTGCCCGTTACCATGACACTTGTGAGGCATACTAAAATACAGTGTATAAGGCCACAGCGGAGGGTTACTCAGAGGAGCAGTAATGGAGGAATCGTACAGGAAGGCTTGTTCTTCCATCATGCTGAATTGGCTGTTGCCACCCACCCGGAGGTAAGGAGAACGTACACCGACTACGGAGTTGTCGGTGATATTCGCAAAACGCTCGATAATCAGCCGAGAGCCGGCCATTTCTTTTGCCCAAGTGTCGACGTCAGCGTTGGTCCAGTATTTTTCATTATTACGATGACTGTAAAGAACATTAAAGTGTTTATAGTTACTAAAATGTTATTTCAGAAATTAAAAATAAAACAGGTTCGTAACATACATTACTGAAATATAAAAAAATAAAATAAAAACGCCGTGAACATATATGTAGTAAGATTCCAACGCTCTACTGAAAAAAATATTTAGTTAAAGATGTCCACAATCTATTGAAACATCTTTAATTAAAGATGTCCACAATCTATTGAAACATCTTTAATAAAGATGTCCACAATCCATTGAAACATTTAATTAAAGATGTCCACAATCTATTGAAACATCTTTAATTAGAGATGTCCACAATCCATTGAAACATTTAATTAAAGATGTCCACAATCCATTGAAACATCTTTAATTAGAAACGTCCACAATCTATTGAAACATTTAATTAAAGATGTACACAATCCATTGAAACATCTTTAATAAAGATGTCCACAATCCATTGAAACATCTTTAATAAAGATGTCCACAATCTATTGAAACATCTTTAATAAAGATGTACACAATCTATTGAAACATCTTTAATTAGAGATGTCCACAATCTATTGAAACATTTAATTACAGATGTCCACAATCTATTGAAACATCTTTAATTAGAGATGTCCACAATCTATTGAAACATCTTTAATTAAAGATGTCCACAATCTATTGAAACATCTTTAATTAAAGATGTCCACAATCTATTGAACCATTTTTAATTAGAGATGTCCAAAATCTATTGAAACATTTAAAGATGTCCACACTACTGAAACGTATTTGATTAGCTTTGACGGTAAACTTGTTATTTCTTTGTATGTTTTCCTCGTAACTTTATCAATAGTTTATTATAAAATAAACCTTCTTACGTGATGGAATGAGCTGCTATCTCGTGACCTTTCCTGTGCAGCTCCTGTACAGCAGAATAGTTGGTATACTTGTGAGAAACAAAGAACGTGGCTTTAATGGAACACCCATTTGGGTTGTTACGTCCTTCTCTGAATATATCGTGGTATACAGCCAAGTTGTTGATGTTGACAGCATCGTCAAAAGTGATGGTTACCATCTGAGGAATGTTGTTCGGTTCCAGTTTCCCTGGGATCTGGGTTCCATCAGGAGAGCAGAAACAATCAGGAAGTATACATTGGCTCTGATCACAAAGTGGTGCTTTGTTGGGATCATGTTCATCTAAAAATCACAGTGTTAAAAAACAATCAGAAAGTATGTACTGGTCCTGCTCACAAAATGGTGCTTTGTTGGGATCATGTTCATTTAAAAATCACAGTGTTAAAAACAATCAGGAAGTATATACTGGTCCTGCTCACAAAATGGTGCTTTGTTGGGATCATGTTCATTTAAAAATCACAGTGTAAAAAAACAATCAGAAATTTTTTACTGGTCCTGATCACAAAATGGTGCTTTGTTGGGATCATGTTCATTTAAAAATCACAGTGTTAAAAAACAGTCAGGAAGTATATACCGGTTCTGATCACAAAGTGGTGTTTTGGGGGATCATGTTCTTATATAATTTAACTACAGGGAGCCTGTTGATCAACCATTTCATCCCCTGAACTAAATTTTAGAATAAAAATAAAACATTCAAAGCCACCCATTATCATTCAAACATTTACCAATTCTTCCCTTAAACTCCCTTAAATTTACTGCATCCACCATATCTGAAGACAACCCACTCCAAAGGTCAACCACCCCATTAAAACATAAGGCTGTCTTAGTTGAAGATGACTCCTACCCTGTCAACCACCCCCATTAAAACATAACTCTGTCTTAGTGAAGATGACTCCTACCCTGCCAACCACCTCATTAAAACATAAGGCTGATTTAGTTGAAGATGACTCCTACCCTGTCAACCAACCCATTAAAACATAACTCTGTCTTAGTTGAAGATGACTCCTACCCTACCAACCACCCTATTAAAACATAACTCTGTCTTAGTTGAAGATGACTCCTACCCTACCAATCACCCCATTAAAACATAAGGCTGATTTAGTTGAAGATGACTCCTACCCTGTCAACCAACCCATTAAAACATAAGGCTGTCTTGGTTGAAGATGACTCCTACCCTATATTTATCTTTCCTAGTCTTACCAGTAAGTACAGAAAAAGATGATGCATGAAGACTATTAAAGCACAGTCAATCAGATTCCCTCTAACTCTTCTTCTCCCCCAAGATCAATACAATTTCAGAGATCATCATAACTTGTATTCATATGACAACTTTTCCATCCCAGGTATCACTCTGACAGCCATCTTCTGAACCCTTTCCAACAATTCACTATCCTTCCTAAGGTAAGGAGCCCAAGACTGAACACAGTACTAGAAATGTAGCCTAACCAGTGACCCGTACAATGAATTTATAACCTCTTTAGACTTGTACTCAATATTTCTATAAATGCAACATTAAATCCTATTTACTTTACCATTAACAATACTACATTGCTTGGATGGTTTAGTAAGAAACTAATCAACCACAACACCAAGATATTTTTCTTCCATGACATTGTTAAAGTTATTTCCATCAAAATTATATCCATAATTCAAATTGTGATATCCCACATGCATTACTTTGCATTTATTATGATTGCCCAACTCGCCAAATAATCCAAATCCTCTTGTAAAGCATCAACACTCGAGACCTTAATATCATCAGCAAATTTAAATAATTTATTCACCATTCTCTCAATTTTGTTATCGAAGTAAATCAGAAAGCAAAGGTCCTAACACCGAGATACTTCACTTGTGATATTAATCCAGTTTGACTGAACTCTTATTCATAAGAACCCTCCGCTTTCTTCCATCCAGCCACTCTTCTGTCCAATGAGCCAACATATCCTCCCACACTTACACAGGTAATTTTTTGTACAAATCTTTTATGTGGCACCTTATCAAATGCTTTCTGAAAATCCAGATACAACAAATCTACACTCTTACTCTCATCTACATAAGCAGTAACCCCTTCAAAGAATGTCAAAATATTAGTAATGGGAGAATTCCCCCTAATGAAGCTGTGCTGACTATCCAAAAACAACAAAAAACATAATCAAATATTGCTCGATGAAGAAACAAATAAGAGACCATTCAATCAAAGCCTTACTCACAAGAAACCTAGCCATCAATCAACATAATAGCATTTAAAACACTAATATCCAACGTGTTAATCACCAGAAACCTAGCCATCAATCAACATAATAGCATTTAAAACACTAATATTAACCACTAGAGTTAAGTGAGTCGCACATTCTCGTAATTGTTGTAAGTTAGTGATTGAAGTTGTTAGGTGTCGCTATTTAATTTGAAAAACTAGGAACAAATCTTGAAAGTTTGAAATATTTTCTATGGGGCTAAATACCCAGCTGCACATTTTAAAAGAGGAAAAATTGAGTGAAGGACATTAGTTCTATTACTTGATTGTTGTGGGATCGGAGTTCCTTGATGGGTACGGGATCACTACAGTTTTTAAATGATGGTTTAGAGGAAGCACCAAAATATTGTTATTAAATTTATAAAAGACATTCCATGAAGCAAGTTTAAATTATATACTCAGCCGAACAATTCAACTGTTTAAGTTATATACTCAGCTGAGGTTAATATCACTATACATATGCTAACTTTGCTAATGATCAAATGTATCTATTTTTACAACGTTCGGCTCACTTTACTGTGGTACGGGAACCTAAACCATCAACATAAAACTGAAAATAAAAAGAATTATGGATTATTACTAAAATCTTAAAATTATGTCGCATACATGTATATATACACTTCTAAAATCCCATTATATCTGCTTATTCTCTTCTAAAATACCATTATATATATCATTTGCTTCTTCCCTTCTAAAATCCCATTATATCTGCTGCTTCCCTTCTAAAATACCATTATATCTGATTCTTCCCTTCTAAAATCCCATTACATCTGATTCTTCCCTTCTAAAATTCCATTATATCTGATTCTTCCCTTCTAAAATCCCATTATATCTGCTTCTTCCCTTCTAAAATCCCAGTATATCTGCTTCTTCCCTTCTAAAATCTCATTATATATATCCTATTCCCTTCTAAAATGGCCAGGTGGTTAGGGCACTCGACTCGTAATCTGAGGGTCGCGGGTTCGAATCCCCGCCACACCAAACATGCTCGCCCTTTCAGCCGTGGGGGCATTATAATGTGACGGTCAATCCCACTATTCGTTGGTGAAAGAGTTGCCCAAGAGTTGGCGGTGGGTGGTGATGACTAGCTGCCTTCCCTCTAGTCTTACACTGCTAAATTAGGTACGGCTAGCGCAGATAGCCCTCGTGTAGCTTTGTGCGAAATTCAAAAACAAACAAACCTTCTAAAATCCCATTATATATATCCTATTCCCTTCTAAAACCCCATTATATATATATAAAAACTTTTTTTTTCTTTTTCTAAAACTGTAGAGTAATGAGTGAAATCTTACTGCAAGCGTTTTCATCAGATCCATCGGAACAATCTGGGATTCCATTGCAGAAAAGTTCTCTTTCAATGCAATCCCCATTCCCGCAAGCCAGTTTATTATTACTACAGATTGGTTCGTTCGTGGAAAAGAGGGGCGTAGCTAATTTCTTCTTTTCCGTTTGATCACAGTTATTGACCTCGTCTCTCCAGTTGCACGTCTGACTCTCGATGTCAAAGATAAGCCCAGATGGACAGGTTAACATTAGTATACCCTGTGTCGAACATCTGACAACGTTGCGACAATCTTCCTCTGAAGAAAGACGAAAATATTCGCCAGGAGGTCGATCTTTGCACAAGTCTGCGTCATTCTGGCTAATTCGTAATGGAGCGCCCTCTATTTGTCGTTTGACGATGGACACGGCTGAGACTGAAATGAAACATTACAACGTTAGACCACATTTAAATTCTAGAAATACAGAACATAATATTATCTGTTCTTCAAACTGAAAATTGGTATCACAAAATAGAATGTTAAACAGTTAAACTGGTTCGTTTTATACAAGCTTCATCACTAATGGTTCTCATTCGTCGTATCTGACAAAACAGATGAGTAATGAAAAGGTTCGAGATATGGGTGGGACACACCGTTTGAGGGTACATTCTGGTTGAGGGGACACTGTTAGATGAGGCATTCTGATTGAGGACACACTGTTGGAGGAGACATTCTGGTTGAGTACACACTGTTGGAGTAGACATCCTGGCTGAGGTTACACTGTTGGAGTATACATCCTGGTTGATATTACACTGTTGGAGGAGGCATCCTGGTTGAGATTACACTGTTGGAGGAGACATCTTGGTTGATATTACACTGTTGGAGGAGACAACTTGGTTGAGGTTACACTGTTAGAGGAGACATCCTGGTTGAGATTACACTGTTGGAGTAGACATCTTGGTTGATATTACACTGTTGGAGGAGACAACTTGGTTGAGGCTACACCGTTGGAGGAGACATCCTGGTTGAGATTACACTGTTGGAGGAGACATCTTGGTTGATATTAAACTGTTGGAGTATACATCCTGGTTGATACTACACTGTTGGAGTAGACATCCTGGTTGATATTACACTGTTGGAGTAGACATCTTGGTTGATACTACACTGTTGGAGTAGACAACTTGGTTGATACTACACTGTTGGAGTAGACATCCTGGTTGATACTACACTGTTGGAGTATACATCCTGGTTGAGGTTAAGCTGTTGGAGTAGACATCCTGGTTGATATTACACTGTTGGAGGAGACATCCTGGTTGAGATTACACTGTTGGAGTAGACATCTTGGTTGATACTACACTGTTGGAGTATACATCCTGGTTGAGGTTAAACTGTTGGAGTAGACATCTTGGTTGAGGTTACACTGTTGGAGTATACATCCTGGTTGAGGTTACACTGTTGGAGGAGACATCTTGGTTGAAGCCCTAGAAAGAATAATTCGAGGGGGACGCCCCAGTGATAGGAAGAGAAAGAACTGATGGGCAGTCTTAGAGATAGAGGAGAAGAGAGCGAAGCAGGAACTGTTGACCCAAGAACGTTCCTTCGGGCAGGTAATCAATGAAATGTACCACAAGAGTTAGTGTTATCACTTCTCAAATTAATAACTTTAGTTTTGATATATTATTTAAAACACATACCTTCAAAGACCGTCCCGTGTGTGGGATAATTTACCTTTAGCCAGTTACCATTACGTCATAAATTCCGTGTGAGGTTATTTCTGTTTGTACGTGTGAGGTCATTTTTGTTTGTGACAGTGTCCAAGTCTAACATTATTCACTATTTGCCACCATCAGGCCGATAGTAGCCTAGTGTTTAACGTGCTGGGCCACATACCTGAAGGTCCAAGGCTCGAGCCCGCGATTTTGTCGCTGAACACGCTTCGGACTTTCAGCTGTTTGCACATTGTATAAGTAACAATAAATCTTGTTGTTTTCTTAAAATAGTATTTTAGGCAGGAGGCACTGCTTTTTGTTTGCCCTCCATCTGATTAGGAGTTCGAAACCAGAGACGATTACGCAAGAGTTTTAGATCTGTGATCTGGAAGGGCCGAGCTGAGATTCCGTGCCCCCCCCCCCAAAAAAAACAAATCGTTCTACACTTTTGAGTCGCGGGTGTGTTACAAGACTGACTATGCAACCTTACTATTCGACTAGAGTAGCTGAAGAGTTGGCGGTGGGTGTTATTGACTAGCTGCCCTCCATCTAATCTATCACTTCACAATTAAGGGCGGTAATGCAGATAGTCCTCGAGTACTTTTGCGCGGAATTCAATAAAAACATGCCGATCTGATCAATCCTTATATGACAAGGAGTCATATAAAGAAATTATCTCTCAACACACACGTACAGTTTTATTGTCTAATATGATTTGTGTTTAAATGAACCTAGATGGCGTCCAATTATTGTTTATGAATCATTATCAATTAATTTTAACATATCTCCAGCTTGCTATAACTAAAACAGACGAGGTTTGGAAAGTTCTATGATTAATAGTATTTTCTTATGATTTTATGATCTAATAACCCCCTGGTGTCCATTTTAGCAATATTAAGTTGCCTTCACCCAGTTTTTTATTGGTCTAAACCGTTCTTCAAGGCTGGGTGTAAACCGATTTTTGCTAAGTGTGGGATCAAGTCTGAAATGGAACAAGAATTCCAGTCGTAGAACAGGTTTTAGGGCAGCAAGTAGGACGTTCAAACCGGTACAACGAAAGGTGGCTGACCGGAGTACTTCGGCTCAATTTGCTGCTTCGATCGTGCGTTCTGGACCAGGGGACTATCACGACCCTGTTTTTAGGACTTCTTACCATTTAACCTAAAATATTCTTAATTTTAGAACAATTCCAACAAATAAATAAAAAAAGTCAATTAGTAGCTTTTTCAAACTCCGACATTTATAATCGGGTAAGAAGAATATGAATAAATTAATTATTTTAAGAACGCCAAAAACTAAAACATCAGTAGCTTAATGAATACAAACAATATGACGATTTAAAAAAACCAACTTGATTTTAAGGATAGCAGTAACTTAATGATGTCTGAAAACACCAATAGTGTTAGACAACAAAAATTTAATGATTTTAATAAGGATAGCAGTAGCTTAATGATGTCTGAAAACACCAATAGTGTTAGACAACAAAAATTTAATGATTTTAATAATACAGAACACTTTAATGATTTTAAGAACGACAACACTTTAATGATTTTAAGAATACAGAACAATTTAATGATTTTAACTATACAGAACAATTTAATGATTTTAAGGATAGCAGTAGCTTAATGATGTCTGAAAACACCAATAGTGTTAGACAACAAAAATTTAATGATTTTAATAATACAGAACACTTTAATGATTTTAAGAACGACAACACTTTAATGATTTTAAGAACGACAACACTTTAATGATTTTAAGAATACAGAACAATTTAATGATTTTAAGAACGACAACACTTCAATGATTTAAACAATACAGAACAATTTAATGATTTTAACTATACCACCTATAATACTTTTAAGTTGTTTTGTTTTATTTTCTTAGGCGACTGCTTTTAAATTGCTATTTGTGCCAATAGATAATTTTCCATCAATGAATAATGAAAATATTGTGATATCTGTTCGGGTAAAAATTCTTCACCTAATCTTCTTTATATTAAATGAAAATATCTATAACAAAATTAATTTAATTCATAAATATTATTCGCATCAGAAATGATCAGGACACAAAGTGAAGAATTCCAGAGAGTACTAAAATTAAGGACATGATAATAAACAGAAAAACTCTTTTGAAAAATTATGTTAGAAAATCACTGTAAACTCTTTGAGGTCGAGAGTTAGCTGGTAGATGGCGTACATAATGATGTGTACTAAAAATATAACAGTAAAGTAATGTATATATTTACATGAAATTAATTATCAATCAAACTAATGATTCGTACGAGAGACAAGGGATGGTTCATATAATTAACTTTAAACATTCTCAAGAACCTGTGCCTTGTAACATTATTACAAAATACTAGAATACTCGTATGAATATCACCTACCATTGGCTAAGAGAGATGACAAGAGAAACAGCCCTAGGATACCAGACTTCATACTTGCTAGTTTTACACGCACAACCCGCTCAAAATGGCAAGACGATTTGTTTACAAGCTGTTAGTTTATATAGTCACCTACTTCTTCGCAGACAGCCAATTGAGAACAAGAAACAACCGAACTTTTCAGGCTGGTCTTTTTGTTGCTTGAGAGAATGTTGCTGACGTTGTAAGAAAAGAACCAATCTCGTGTACGAACTGTAATCAACATTGGAAATGTAAAGTATGTGATGCTATGCATCCAATTGCCAGATTAAAACAGGTCCATTGATTGGCTGATTTCTTGAGAACATTTAATGAAGTATTTTTCGATGTTAAAATTTTGAAACTTTTTTAGGCATTTGATAAGGAATGGCATGTTTACAGGATGTGACATTTTTGAATCATAGGTTTATTTAATCAATCAGTCAGTGGACATCTTTTAATACACAATTTCAAGCTAAGAAGATTAAAATTATGAAGTCTAGTGGATTTACTAAGCTATGTCCAAGAATTATTTACTTCGTGTCACTATGTCCTTGAACTAATAAATCCGGGCTTACAGAATAACAAGAGGCGAGTACTAATTGCTCCACTTTTGTTTTCAAGTGTCAAAATCTCTGTGTGAAACTTTTAACCTTCAAATAACTAATTTCTTAGCTATTACCATACAATGTTTACTAAATAGCTAAAAGTGTTGAATTTTTAGCTGCAATTGTCCTTGTTTTAATTATTGAAATATGTTATAAATAAAGTGTTAACCCTCCTGGTGACAGGACAGAGAACGGTGTACAATAACTAACGCAAATCAAGTATTAACCCTCGTGGTGACAGGACAGAGAACGGTGTACAATAACTAACGTAAATCAAGTCTTAACCCTCCTGGTGACAGGACAGAGAACGGTGTACAATAACTAAAGTAAATCAAGTATTAACCCTCCTGGTGACAGGACAGAGAACGGTGTACAATAACTAAAGTAAATCAAGTATTAACCCTCCTGGTGACAGGACAGAGAACGGTGTACAATAACTAAAGTGTTAACCCTCCTGGTGACAGGACAGAGAACGGTGTACAATAACTAAAGTAAATCAAGTATGAACCCTCCTGGTGACAGGAC